GCTCTACCACTTGAGCCACAGCGCCACTTCCGGCTTTTTTCTTTTTGCTTATGTGGTGCTGAGGAATCGAACCCAGGGCCTCAGCATGCAAGGCACGCGCTCTACCACTGAGCCATCTTCCCAGGCCCCCAGCCTAGCTTTGAACCTTGAGCCTCAGATCTTGGCCTCTTGAGTAGCTGGGATTATAGGCATGAACCACCAGGGTACAGCTGTTCATTTAAAATATTCAGTCAGTCAGGTCTGGGAAGGTAGCTCAGTGGTAGAATGCTTGCCTTGCATGCATGAGGCCCTGGGTTTGATTCTTCAGCACCATATAAGCAGAAAAAGCCAGAGGTGGCTCTGTGACTCGAGTGGTAGAGGACTAGCCTTGAGCTGAAGAGCTGAGGGACAGTGCCCAGGCCCAGAGTTCAGGCCCCACGACCAACCATAAATAAATAAATAATAAAATATACAGTCAGGTAGGGACTGGTGGCTTATATCTGTAACCCCAGCAATTTAGAAGTAGAGCTGAGGGGACTGTGAGTTCAAGGACAGCCTGGGCCACATAGTGAGTTCTAGGCTAGCCTAGACTACATGGTGAGACCTTATCTCAAAATAAATAAAATATATAGTAACTTCCTTAACATATTCCTTGTTCCCTTTTCTTCTTCCTGTCCCCTTCTTCATTTCATCTTTTCCCTTCCCTCTCTCTCCTTACCTCCATCCCTTCTTTAATTGTACTAGTTTCATTATCTGTTCAAATAAATAGCATAAGAGCAGTTGTTTCATAGAAAGATGCTTTTTGTAATAGATCTTCAGGCAAGCCATGCATTGAATGGACATGCATTGAATGGAATTATTTGTTGCAGCTAAGAAGTTTGGCTGTAGTTTAGAAAACTGAGTTAGGTGATGCCTGTGGCTCATGGCTGCAATTCTATCCATTCAGGAAGCTGAGAGCTGAGAACCCATTATGGGAAGACAAATCTGTGAGAAGCTTTAACCAGCAAAATGCTCGAAAACTAGAGGAATGGTCCAAGTGGTAGAGTGCCAGCTGTGAGAAGGAAAGCCTGAAAGAGAGGTCCTGCGCTGAAGCCCTACTACTGCCACAGCACACAACTGAGAGGACTGATTCTCATCCCTAACTGGTGCCTGACTTGAAAGAGGACAGACACCCGATTAGGGGCCTGTGGGAGTAGGGCAGGGTTCCTGGTTGTAGAAACTCTGCCTTTTAACTAACCTGATCTCCACTTTCAGGAGAAATAAGTATGCTAAGCTATTACTTTTGGTTCTGGATAACCAATACCACTAATGCCAGTTTCTTCAGTGGTTTTTTTGTTTGTTTGTTTTTGGTCCAATCATGGGGTCTGAACTCTGGGCCTGGGTGCTGTCCCTCAGCTCTTCAGTTCAAGGCAAGTGCTCTACCACTTGAGTCACAGCGCCACTTCCAGCTTTTTTCTTTTTGCTTATGTGGTGCTGAAGACTTGAACCCAGGGCCTCAGGCATGCAAGGCAAGTGCTCTAGCACTGATCCACCTTCCCAGCTCTCTTCCGTGGTTTTTACTGGCTTCATAATGCTAACCATCAGTCCCTATAGCTTTTGAAGCACATCCCCCCCAGACAGAGCTTTGCTAGCATGACTACCACCGGTGCTGTTTGCATCCTGCTACAAAGAAACAGAACAAATTTTGTTTTTGTTTTGTTTTGTTTTTGCCAGGCCTGGGGCTTGAACTCAGGGCCTGGGCGCTGTCCCTGAGCTCTTCAGTTCACGGCTAATGCTCTACCCCTTGAGCCACAGTGCCACTTCTGGCTTTTTCTGTTTATGTGGTGCTGAGGAATTGAACCCAAGGCCTCATGCATGCAAGGCAAGCATTCTACTGCTGAGCCACCTTCCCAACCCCCAGAATGAATATATGTTCTTTTGTAAATAATTATTACTATGACATCTGAAACACTTTGTATATAGTTTCGAATTAGGGAGGATCTGGGCACGAAGACCTGTTCTAATTCTGATCACTGAAATGTACCCAACAACTGTAACGTACAGGTAGCCTTCCCCTCTGAAGAAAATTAATGTTAAGTCTGGAAAAAGAACAAAACCTAAGAGAGCCATGTTAGATCTCAATTTTCAAAGGAGAAGTTTTTTATTTCATTTAAAAAAATTAGGGCTGGAAAGGTGGCTCAGTGGTAGAGCGCTAGCCTTGCATGCATGAGGCCCTGGGTTCGATTCCCTAGCACCACATAAGAGAAAAAGCCGGAAGAGGCGCTGTGGCTCAAGTGGTAGTGTGAGTTCAGGCCTCACGACCGGACCCAAAAAAAAAAAAATTATGCTGGGCATTACAGGCTCACGCCTGTAATCCTAGCTACTCAGGAGGCTGAGATCTGAGGATCACAGTTCAAAGCCAGCCCAGACAGGAAACTCCGTCAGACTCTTATCTCTAATAAATCACTCAGAAAACAGGAAGTGTTGCTGTGGCTCAAGTGGCAGAGGGTTTGCCTTGAGCTGAAGAGCTGAGGGACAGCACTCAGGCCCAGAGTTCAAGCCCCATGACCAACAACAAAAATTACTATTGTTGTTCAGTAGTTGTACAAAGTAAGGTTATAATAGAATACTTTTTGGTCAATGTTGCCCCTTTCCTTTCTCCCTGTTTTTCCCCATTCCTATCCCTTCCCTTGTTACACAGTTCATGTTTTATAATGTACATTCAATACAGTGACATTTGCTCACCCTGCCTTCCTCCATTCCTGTGCCCTCCCAATCCTTCCCCCCCAAAATCCTTATTTCTACTTTCTGATATTTGTTATGATTATCTGTACTTGAGTTACAGGAGCATTATGCCTTCAGATTTCTCCTCTAAGTATACCCTGCTAAAAAAAAAAAAAAATTTTTTTTTTTTGCAGTCATGGGGCTTGACATGGGTGCTGTTCCTGAGCTTCTTTGTGCTCAAGGCTGGTACTCTACAACTTGAGTCACATTGCCACTTTGGGTTTTGTTTTTTTCTTTTAAACAGTTAATTGGAGATAGGAGTCTCATGGGGACTTTTCTGCCCAGGGTAGTTTTGAACTGCCATGCTCAGATCTCAGCCTCCTGAGCAGCCAGGATTATAGGTGTGAGCCACCGGTGCCCAACTACTAAAATCTTTTAAAAAGTACTTTTAATACTCTCTTTATTTTGACAACACTGATATGCTATGAATTTTTTTCTTTGCCAGACCTGGGGCTTGAATTCAGCACCTGGTCACTATCCCTGAGCTTCTTTTGCTCAAGGTTACCACTTGAGCCACAGCACCAATTCTGGCTTTTCTGTTTATGTGATACTAAGGAATGGAACCCAGGGCTTCATGAATGCTAAGAAGGTACCCATCACTAAGCCACAATCCCAGCCCCATGCTGTGAAATTTATGTCAATTAAACGTATAGTTCTGTGACTTGGTAAGTTTATAGACTTGTGCCAGTAAGAACATTTTGGTCCGATTACACTCACTCCCCAAAGAGTTTGTTTTACCTATTTATAGTCAATTTCCCATGACAGCAACAATCAACTACTAATCTTTTTTTCAGCCATTTTTTTAAAAATGCATAAATGGAATCATATAAAATGTGACTTTTTTTTTTTTTTTTTTTTTTTTGTCGGTCGTGGGGCTTGAACTCTGGGCCTGGGCGCTGTCCCTCAGCTCTTCAGCTCAAGGCGAGCGCTCTACCACTTG